ATTTATTTAAATTAAAACAAGACAGGGAGCAAAAATAGCTGCTGTTAACTTTAAACCAGTTGATTTAGTTCAGAACCGGGATCTACTCCAAAACCGTCACAGGACATAAGATAAAGAGCATCTCTAATGACAACATGCATCTGTGTTATGTTTGCTCTTTGTTCAGAACCGACGGTGGCCCAGAAGGGTCAACAAAATGCAACAAGAGCAGCACTAAAAGATGCAACAACAAAATGCTACACTAATGTCGCTAAAATGCTAAAAGCTGTGATTATTTTTCCATTACAGCCGAGACTCTGTTGTGTCTTTTGTACTTCAGCCTTTTGCGTTCTACTCTCCTTTAAGCAGATAATTTACTGCTCCGCTCTTCATATCCAGATAGTTGTTGCAGGAGATGTGCAGACTAAATGCCTTCTGGTCACCTGCAAATACTTTTACAAGAAATGTTCCTTTGTTTTGTGTTTGCTGCTAATTGGAGGTATTTTAAGATTATTTTTTTACATTATTCCAGTTGTTTTACTAAATTAATTTGCAATGATGTAGTAATTAACTCAGACACACCTGTCGATATTTTAGTATAAGGAAGAAAAAATCTTTTTTTGCTAAAGTTGGAGCTAAGAGTTATATTCCTGTCAGGATCTGCTATAGCGGAGGCAGGATTTGGCATGTGGCGGCTGGTGATGCATCAAGTAGAGGCCATTGTATTACCTTGCTGGTGCTCAGTTATTTCCTTCCCGCTCACTATTGAATCCAAAGAATAGGTTCGTGCTGTTGGTGGTGGGTTCAAAACAAGACAGAGCTGTCGAAACACTGAGAGCCATCCCTCATGTCTGACTGTAGTGGTTAAAGGGCAGCCAGGCTCTTAAAGAAACCATTAGCATTTAGATTTGAGATTCTTCCCCTACAGAGCAGCAGGGAGTGGCTGCGTCACACCTCGGTCTTCTGTGCTTTGAGTGGGCCCAAGTGGCAGCTCCATAGGCCTGATCAATCTTTCAATATGCCTAAATTGCTTTGGATGACCTGCTCGTAAAGAGACAGGATTGGCCATACTGATTCTCCTCCAATCAATAGCAGATGCTATCATGGCTCATCAACAAAGAACTGTTTTAATGGAGGTCAGGCCATGGAAGATCTAATTCATTTTAATTTGTAAATTGTGGCATGACAAAATTCTAATCAGGGCGCTTTCCTATCAGATATGCAGTCTTCTGAGTCTTTCCTTCTTCTCTTGCTCTCATTCCCTTTTCTCAGCCTCATTTGCATTCATGAGCGTCTGTGTGTATCCACTCAGGACGGGGAAGCATGAATGTATACATGACATATATTAAATATCAGTCGGCATTGACTATCACACAGTTTTTTAGGCTCGAGTGTTTCCTTCTCAAGGTGCATCATCTTTAGCCGAGACGAGTTTTCCTCCCAAACACACTGCTGCACGTGTTTCACCTCATTAAGTAAAGATTGAAAAGATGACAAATATGACATGTGCAATTTATTATCTTAATTAATTCACTGTCTTCTGTCAGAGACAAGCAGGGCAGCTCTTTCATCTAAAAACCGTTTTTCCTGGGGGTTGTTGCAGGAAGCCGGCACTCTGTCGTTTGCCCAGATTAGTGTAAGAGGTGAGCCTTTTCCATCTCGCCTTCCATTCCAGCTAAATTTGTCTCAGCCACAGTAATATGCACCACGGGACTTTTTCTCCCCCCTGTGAGCAGAAATGCAATTGGAATGGGATGCGACTGTCCGTCGTGATTGCGTGCAGATGAACCAGTCTGGCCTTGCACCCGGTGCATGAGTGAGGCCATGCGATGCCCATCGGCAGAGCAGACGGAGGGCACGTCCGGGGTCCGCTGTCTGCACGCGCCGGAGCACGGCTGCCCGGCTGTGACCAACGCAATCAGTACCGGAGATCGCCACGCCATTTCAGATGGATTAGACCTCCTCCCAACACAGATAGTGGGAAAATTGGCAAGAAAACCGCCGCCATTGATGGCAAACGCAAGAAATAGGCCGCAGTCATTACAGAAATATTTAAGGCCGTTTTCACACACGATAGTCCGGTAGACTCGGTTCGATTGGGGACCAAAATGGTTACATTTTCAGCTGGTGCGGTTCACATTCATTTTGGATCAAATGATCCAAACCATTTGGAAATTCTGTTCAGACTCCTCACGTTTTCTTGCTCCACCATTTCCTTCGGAACGACACAAAAATTTCCAAAGAAGAAATGAGTGACACGCCCTGTTTTGCAAAATGTAAACAAAAAAGTGGAGTAGCATCAGATTTGGCAGTTGTAGCATTTCTCTGTGGTGGAAGTCGACGAGCCATTTCTCCTACTAGCACTGGACATGCGGGTTTGTTTTGGTTGTATTTGCACAGAATGTCATGCAAAGTAGTCTGCTTCCTTCTCTTGGAGCGGCTTATCGTCCGCTTGCAGTCCGAGGTCACTTCAACTGAACCAAGACAGAGGCTTGTAGGCGGACAAGAGTTCACTTACAAAACTAACTGGACTTTCCAGACAAACTAGAGTTTGAATAAATGACACCGAACAGGACTGGTGTGAATTCATCCTAAGGTTGTTTCACATCTGGTTGTTCAACTTGGTTAAGCTAGAAAGGGAAATTGCAACATTCACTTCCAGTTGGTGCTGTTCACTTTCACACTCCACTATAGCAAACAAAACAAACAGTTTAAGTAACCTGTTCCCCTCCTTGCCTGTGGGGGCGCTGCATCAAGAACTACTGGAGGAAATGACAAAAACCTCTGAAGACGGCACTGGGGACAACTTCTTCACAAAATGTAAACAAAAATGGAGCGGTGTCAGAGTTGTAGAATTTCTCTTGCTAGCAAGGGACTAGCATGTTTATTTTGGTTGCATTTACCCAGAATGCCCTGCACCATTGTCCGCTTTGTGCTGTTGGAGCATTCTCTGTTCCATTTGGAGTTCATATATGAATTCAAACCTCAACAGTGTTCTCTTCAACCAAACAGAGACCGAGGTTTCAGGCGGACCAGAGGCTAATGTCTCATTCTCACCTCCCCAAACAAACCCGACTTTCCAGGCAAACTAACAGGAGCCTGAATGCAGCAAGGTGAAAGCACCTTAAGTCACAACTAGCGCTGGTTTAGTATGAAAAATAAAACTGTTGCGTTCTTCCAAAGAGCCTTGACGAGGTCTAGATCTGCAGGTTCATTAAGGGAGGATTGGGCTGAAACGTTCTCTTCAAGGTCTGTTGTGTTCTCCCCGTCGGTGTAACACAGAAATCCATGACTGAATTATGGAGAATAATTATTGATGAGAGCCAAGGGCATTATGCTGGACTGAGAAGAGACGCTTCAGAAGCAAAGCACCCCCCGCTCCCCAACCCTTCCGTCTTCACTCTCGAGTGTCCCCATTGATTTATCAGGACGCTATTTTTAGTTGCACATGGAACAGTAATGGATTCGTGGGAATTAACAATGATTCATGCGAAGCTAATATTGTGGAATTCAGAGGCTTGATTAATGCTTGAGAAATTCACAACGTCAACTCCCCAATTATTTAGAACATTTCTCACACTGCATAAACACAGATGCTTGTCAGGAAGGCTTGTTAAGGAGGCAGATGTTTGTTCTCTGTGTCAATGCAGACTCTAAGAACATCTAGTGGGCTGCAGGAGAAGGTATTAACTGTTCTCCCTTCATGGTCCACCTCATACTGGAAGAGTGACCCAGGTTTTAATGATCTAAATGATCAGATTTAGACTCTCTCACGCTGCCACACTTTCATTCCTACTGGAGCTTCTATGATGGCAGATAACAAAGCTTTTCTATCATAATAAATCTCATCTAAGTGGAATTAACTGTGTCATGCAACCATAACTTCCAGCTTTCAGCTTAAATAATTAGTTCAGCCAAATTTATCATTGATTTATGACTCCCAGTAAAGTACATTGAAATCTGTGCCTTCAGTGAGACAAAATGTGAAAGTGTTCAGAGTTGATACTGTTGTTAGGCGCTTTTTGTGGATTCTTTAAAACTTATCTCTGGTTTCCAGTCCGTTGTGCAGCTCCAGCATTAGCAGGAACATCATGTCTGTGCAGATGAAGCCTATAAATGCTTGTGTGACTCCTGCAAGGCCTGACTGAACACCTTCACCTGTCCTGATATTAGTGGCTTTATCAGAAGAGCTTCAGAGAACTATTTCCCAGGTGAAAATATGAATCCGATACAGTCTGGATTCCACTCTGAGCTCTGTTGCATTCATGCAAAACATGCAAAACTTAACCGTACTGTGAAGAGACGCAGCTGGGAGTCTAGATGTCCTGAGTTTATTGGTTTAATTAATTTTTGTAACAAGAAATCAAAGGTAGCATTACTTGAAGTTTCATCTTCACTTGCAGCAAGCTTGGAAAAACTGAAAGGATTTTGTTGAACAATGTGAATTATTGAAATAAATGGTTTTACTTCAATTGAACTCTGTTTGTTTGTTTGTTTGGGGAGGTGTGAATACATGAGCAAACTCTGGTCTCGGTTCGGTTGAAATGAGCTTTTGTTCAGTATGAATGTGAATGTTGACCGAACCGAGGACCGCTCCAAAAGCAGGGCATTCTGGGTAAATAAAACCACAGTCGGGGGAAAATGACTTGTTATACGTAAAATAACCAGTTCTTGGAACCAGTGGAACCAGTTCTTTTTATTAAAACAACCTCCGATGTGTTGCTGAAAGTTTGCTTCCATGTTAATTTATTATTTCAAGTGTACCAAGATATTTGCAGTAGAAACTAGACAAAAATACTCTGTAAATTAGTGTTTTGCAGTGAGTGGAGCCTAAATGCCAGGTTTGTTTTAGGAGAATCAAAACTCAGATTTAATGCATCTAGATTATTTCATTGAAGCCAAAGCTGTGCTTTCTTTTTCTGCACCACCTTAAAACAGTCCACACTGTGGCATGAAGGTTGTTTATTTCTGATTTTGAATACGATCAGGAGGAAGTAATTTCAGTGTTGTTACTCCAACAGATGCTCAATCAGCCCAGAGCTGAATTCAATCGTCACAAATGGAGCAGGAGAATGTCCAGACGGGTTACTGAAGCTTTGATTTGTGGTTATAAGGAAGGTCTAATGAAATCCTGGAGTGTGTTGAAGCCTGAACGAAGCAAACGGACCGGGCCGACTTCTGCTTCTGTTAGTAACACATAAGGTACTCCTGCTACTGATGCACTGCAAAAACACAAAATCCTACCAATTAGTTTCCCAATCAAATATCTTATTACACTTGAAATACAACAAAATAACTTAGAAGTAACTTTTCAGCAAGATACAGAAGCATGTTTTAAGTCAATAATTCCTTAATATTGATTAATAAAATAGCTTCTATAACAAGACATTATTAGTGAAATAATCTGCCAGTGGAATTAGTCAATATTAAAGAAAGTATTGATTTAAAACAAGCAACTATATCTTGCTGAAAAGGGAGTCGTATGTCAGTTATTATGTTAAGTGTATCAAGTTATTTGCATTAGAAACTAGAAAAAAATGGTTTAAGATTTTGTTTTTACAGCAAAAACAAAATCCAGTGAAGTCTGGAAAGTTTGCTGCTTGGATTCTGTGCATTCTATATTTTATACCTTCACATTTTTATGCCACACTTTTTCCTTCCACTCAACTTTCTGGTAATATGCTAGGATGAAGATCTTTCATTTGTGGTCTTGAAATTATATTGTGTATGGCTTCTAGTTTTAGGACTGAATGACTAAACTACATCTTTTAGATGATATTTTAAACCTGACGCACCTAAAACATGTATTTTCTGTCTCACCACAGAATCGTGTGCACCCAGAAAGCTGCCTATAGTCTGTGTTGAGCTTATGAAGGGTACTATAATTAATGATTTTTTTTATGTGTTTGGCTTTAACACCTCCGCACTGTCTGGCAGGAAAGCTATAGCTCTCCTGTTGTGTCAATATGTTTCCTCTATCTGTTCGGTGCCATCAATGTTTAATCCAATCAACTTCCCTGCATTTCGATTCAAACTGTTCCTGCATGACCTTCTGCTTAAACGGGGAGAAGTTGGGAGTAATTATAAAGGCTGAAATTGGTTTCTGACAGATATGCATGCTTGAGGTGTGTATTAATAGCTGTGGTGATGAATGCATCTGACAAAACAGTTTATAGAGGTTGGAATAAGTGTGGAAGTACTTTTAATTCACAGGAAATAGAAAAGGGAGGAAGAGTTAATTAATATTTGCCGTGGTTTTCTTTCTGTTTGTTGCTCCTTTTCTGGATGTTTCCAACTGAAGGATTATAATTTCATACCTTTAGCATATTTTCAGAGAAAAGTGTTCAGCATCATCAAAACGCTGCAAATATTCTAAATCTGACCAAGTGTTTTTGCTTAGTTTCTGAGTACCTTTAAAATACGACAAAACTAACTAAAAAGTAACTTCTCAGCAACATATAGGAGGTTGTTTTAAGTCAATAATTCTTTAATATTGATTTAAAAATGCTAGTTACAGATAAGTGAAGTGATAGAAGTGAAAAAACCAGCCAGTGGGACTAATGCTTCTTTTTCTATATTGAATTGTTTAAAACAAGCTGATTTATCTTTCTACACAGTTGCTTATTTTAAATGTACTTAGACAGAAATACTTGGTAAGATTTTGTGTTTTTGCAGTGGACAGAGATGAACTCCATCAACTGGAAAATAAAAAGCTGATTATGTTCTGGTAAAAGTTTGTTGAAAGACTTTTTGATTGAACTTCAGTATTTTTTGGAAGAAGTAAGAAATACTGCCACCTGCAGGTGGGAGTTGGCATCATTTAAACCCAATGTTTTTTCACCATTTTGGCAAGAAAATGTTTCAGTACAATCAATTATTTCCACAATAGTGAAATTGTGAAAAACTGGATGGACTAATTGATGTAATTTGACTGTATACAATTTAAAACTCCTTTGATGTGACTGATAAAATGATATTTAAGCACACAACTGTTATCCTAAGGTTGTATCTAGAGTTTAGAGGGCCACATAAAAAGCTGTGGAGGGCCTTGAGTTTATATTTTCCTTAGAGAAAGAAAAAGTAGGTATGTGAGGCAAATACAGCTACAGGAGTTCCTTTTTTTAAATGTAACACAAATAGTAAAGTTGAGAATGGTACTGTCTGCGTGGCAGAAGGAAGTCCTGAGGAACGGTAATAAATGTTGACACGCTAATGCACATCTGATGTCTGCTGATTTGTTTCTCAAACAAGTAAAACAAATGGAAGATGCTTGTTTGATTTCATGGCTGGAATGTGACGGGAACACCTCCATTTGCAGGAGCGGAAATGTTTTTTAATGGCTGTGCAGTTTTTTTTTTAAAGCATCAACCAGTCAATGAAGATAACGTTTCAGTCGCTTCCTGTCACCAGCGACCATTTATGTTCCTCCAGTTTCCTGTCTGCAGGAACACAGGAAGAGGAATGATGTTACATATAACGTGTTGCGCTGCTATTGTGACTTCTTTGGGGTATTGATGAAAAACACGACAACATAGAATACGATTATCAGATATCACTGTTTTCTCCTTCATTCTGCCTGTTTGCTTTGACTGTTGGAAAAAGGTACATATTGACGCTGCAGTTTAAAACCTGACAGCCACTCTCAAATGTGGTTTAATGATTTATAATTCTGTAGTTTTGATGCCTCAGTGGAGTGAAAATGCAGCAGGGTGATATGAATACAGTTCCTCTGTTAATTGCAGCCGTCTGCACTGAAAATAATGAAGGAAAGTTCAATGAACGCTGGAGACGGTAACAAATCCAGTTTGAAAGCAGCCTGTGGGAAGAAAGTCTGCGCTAGATTCACGGCTGAGAACGTGAAATGTCAGAGAGTTCATGCGGAGGTCAGGTAATATCTAGCAGCTTTTAAAATGCCGTTGAATCAACAGCCATTTCAGATTTCTTGGATGAAGACAAAGCAGCAAATTGAAAGGTGAAACTTTGGAGCGTCTTCGCATCACCTACTATTACTTACACTGACTCTTTCCGAGGACGGGTTACATAAAGCACTTACGGCGCTGCTGAAAGAGGAGAATAATGAGGAAAAGCCATCGCCGAACTAAACACCATGACACATTCCTGATCCTCTAAGTTACACCAGGATGTGAAAGAAAAACTGATTCCTGCAGATCATCCCTGACCTTCATCTCCATTAACTCGTTTTACTTTGGATGGTTGACCTCAGGTACTTGAACTCCACCTTTTCCATTTTTATTGACCTTAAAATTGCACAAATTAAAATTACAGAAATAAACTTGCTTTTTGAAAACACACTGATTTTGAAATAACTTTTGTTTTGCACTAGAAAGAAGTGTTTTTTTGCTGCATCAAAATTTATTTTATAAAATTACAATGGAAACACTTTTTATGTATTGCATCAGACATGTGATCTATAACCGGATGTTACTACTGACTGAAGCGACAAACAAGGCAACAGGAAGTGCTGGGAGAATGATGGCATTGCGTGTTTTTTAATGACTTACTGCGTGAACAAATGAATCCATGTGTGGTTTTAATTAAATCTCTTATTTAGCGGTAGCACCGCAATTGTGAATTTGTTTGTATTTTATTTTTTTAGTAATGAGGTTTTGTAGCCAGTAGAAATGCAGCTACTGCCACTTTTGTCAGTTATATTTAAAGCAGGGCTGGGACTTCAACATTATTTTTTATTCGTTACATTGATTTCAACACCTTAAACATTTTACCACATTTAATAACTTTGACTAAATGCTTTAAAGAAAAGCTTTGGTACTTTTTTTCTTACATCATTTCCGTCCAGAAACTTTCCAGCATAGCATCTCAATGCTAAACATGTAGCAGCAGCAGCACAGATGCTATGCTAATGTTAGCATTCACATTTCTAAAGAAGCTCCATGAATGATCAGGTTTCCTGAAACACTAGAAAGCCGAACGTTGCTCCAATCATATGGTTGAAAAACAATAACTATATTAAACATATTTGTTGTTGAGCTAATAAAATTTTTATTTTGTCTATATTTTTTAATTACAATGCAATTTAGATTTTTTTATGACCTGAGTATCATATTTGTGCAGCTTGACGAGAGAGAAACCTGATGGTAACTCAGTCAGCGGTGGCGGCTGCCGTCTTACTGCTGCAGATGAAAATAAGAACAAGCTCTTGTAGCTTCTCGTTTATAAGAAATAAATTAATAATCTCATGGGAGCTGGAGTCAATTTAACTTGTTTTCCTCAAAGGTAATAATCCTCAGAAACTTGTTGTTCCTGTTGACTGTCAGCTGCACCGAGATGTTTACCCGAATATGAAGACAACCTGCTTTTATTCCCACCACCGGCCATGATGAATGTCTAACCGCTGCAGCCGCGCTGTTTAATGAAACCTGTAATCCAATCTAAAACTTATGAAATGTTGCGACAGACTAAAGCTTTTCCCACAGCTGCACTGTTCATCTCTGAGACTCTCATTGTGAATGTCACAGTTGGTTTCTCACATGTTGTCAGAGAGGAGCTTGTTTTCACTCTGCGGAGGCATCTCTAAAGAGAATCAACAATGCTCCTGTCTCCAAGTTAAAGGGAGACGCAGAAGCGGCATGTTTGCTGTTTTACACTCAGAAACAACTCTGATTGCTCTTGTTTTGTATATTTCAGCAAAGAACTAATCGATGACGAGCATGCAGCCACACATCGGTGTTTTCTTTCACTTCTGAGTAGGACAATATATAAAGCTTTACTGTTGAAAGGGCTTCTCTTTGTTTTGATAAGATGGAAAAAACTGACTGCTGCAGAAATTGTGGGGGAAAAATCCTTAAAATGACGGAGAAGCTAACATCGGATAAAAATAGAACAACGTTGACCTTTGACCTTGTTTTTTTCCTAATGCCTCCTATAATTTACAACAGTGCCTGAAGACCCAGCTTGTTGGTTTGGAGGAGAAAATTAGTCTGTTGTGGTAATTTTCCAAATCACGGAAGACAAAAGCGTGTTGGAATATAAGCAGCCCGAGGCTGATTGTGAAAAAAGGGTTCCTGAATCGTTAAATTAAGCAACGGGTTTGATTTAATTTCACTCGCAAGGCTGGCTAATGGGAAAATTTATGCAGGAATATACAAAATTAAAGAAAACGGACGCAGTATTCTCAGTTGGTGGTAAAAGTTAAAAAAGAATAACAGGAAAAAGTTGTTTCT